CTCCAGAAAAACCTCTGTCCCTACTCCCCGCTGGGGGAGAACCAAAGGACGGTGTCTGTCTTTCCTCCTGGTTCTGGGCTGCCACCCCTAAGAGGGTCAGGGCTGACTTGATCCGGGCAACGCGGCAGGGTCCCTCTGGAGGTCCTGGATTGGGCTCTGCTGACTCTCAGTAGTAAGCGCTTTAGGAAGCCTCTGACCTCTCCAAGGTGGCTGGAGGTAGGCCCAGTTCTGAGCCCTGAGCACGTGCTAGCGCCCCGGCTCAGGGTCAGTGTTCCAGGGCGACCACGAGATGGCAGCAGCGCTGCATCTACAGGGCTTGCCGGGGCGCTAGGGCGGAGTCCGCCGCGGCCAAGTCAGCCCCTCCCGGGTAGGGACACATCTCTGGAAGTCTCAGATCTTCTTAGAGCTCCCGACTCACAGGGTTGTGGGGAGGATTTGGTGAGACAAGCTGGGAGCTCAGCCACGGGAGCTTTGGGTGGGCAAAAGCCAGCCTGGTCCGCTCCCTCTCTTAACAGAGCCCCGGGTGTGCGGTCCCTGGGGCCCCTGCTCCCACGCCTTCTCGCCGACACACATCCGTGTGCATTGCCGTTTCTGTCTGCACGTGTAGACAAATCATGAGCTCGCCCAGTAACTCCAGCTCCACCACAGATTCCTTCTTTTCCGCCCTTCCCCTCCAGCAGTGAGAAACCTGCTTCCCGCCGTCCTTCATTCCTTCTTTCCCTCCATCCCCGCAGTAGCCTATCTCTGTTGCCACCACTGTCCCGTCCTGCCCAGTGCCTCCCACCCTCTCCAGGTGGACTGCCACCACCCTGTCCCACAGACAAGCCCCTAGACACAGAAACCTTCTTTCTCACAGTTCTAGAGGCTAAAGTTCAACATCAAGGACACGGAGTCCATCTGCTCAGTTGGTTCCTTCGGGCCCCTCCTTGGCTGTAGATGGCCATCTTCTCCCTGGGGCCTCACGTCATCTCCTTTCTGCATCTCTCTGTGTTCAAAAGTCCCATTTTTGTAAGGACGCTATTCATCAAGGATTAGAGTCCACCTAATGATCTATTGTACCTTAATCACCTCTTTGTTTGTTTGTTTATTTTGTTTTTTTTGAGACGGAGTTTCGCTCTTGTTGCCCAGGCTGGAGTACAGTGGCGCGATCTCAGCTCACTGCAACCTCTGCCTCCCAGTTTCTGGCTGAGGCAGCGATTCTCCTGCCTCAGCCTCCCGAATAGCTGAGATTACAGGCATGCGCCACCACACCCAGCTAATTTTGTATTTTTAGTACAGACAGGTTTTCTCCATGTTGGTCAGGCTGGTCTCAAACTCCCGACCTCAGGTGATCCACCCTCCTCAGCCTCCCAAAGTGTTGGGATTACAGGCATGAGCCACCATGCCCGGCACCTTAATCACCTCTTTAAAGCCCCTACCTCCAAATACAACCAAATACAATTGCATTCTGATATACTAGGGGTCAGAGATTCAACATACGAATTCAAAGGGACAAAGGAGCCCTGTATTGCCCTCTGCTGCCCTCTAGTCCCTGGGTCCATTCTCCCAGGCACACTGTTCTTTGGCAGGTGGCCACAGTGTCTTCAGAGGGGCTGTCACATGAAACACCCGCTTCCACTCCCTGCCCCCTGCCCTAGTGGGAGTTTGAGAGTGGCTAGATTCATCCTAGGGCAGCCTAGCCTTAGATCCAAGGATTAGCCATGGGACCAGGAGCGAGCAGGGGTGCTGGCAGAGTGGAGGGAGATACAGACGCTGGGAGCCGGGCTAGGGGCTGCTCCTCTGGTCCCCACAGCCGCTCGTTGTTTCAGAGCAGACCCAAGTGGGTGAGCTGGCAGGTTTCACTTCCACCCACCCTGGTACAGGGCGAGACCGGAGGAAGCAGTGTCGCCAGGCCGCATCCTCACCCCTTGCCTCTGACTCAGGACTCCTCTGATGTCTTCCTTCCCCTGCTGCAGGCTGGCCCTGCACCCTCTGTGCACCGTGGACCAGGCTGGCCAGCAGAGGGAAGGAACCCAAGCTGACCAGGGCCCCAAATCCCCAGTGAGTCAGAGTCAGCTTGGCAGGGCACTTGGATCTCTTGAGGCCAGTGAGAAATAGACAGACAGGGAAACGGAGGCCAGGGAGGGGAGGGACATGCCCTGGCCAGTGTGCTGCCTCCCTACCTGATGCAGGGGCCCAGGAGGCTCTGTGTGCCAGCCCAGCCTGCCCGGGGAGGGAGCAGCCCACACCCACCCACGAGCATAGGGAAGTCAGTGCAGGACAGAGGGTGGGGACTCCTGGGTGCCCTGTGTCAGGCCCAAGCACTGCCCAGGAGTCAGTCAACCTGGCTTCCAGCCGTGCACAGCCACCGACTTCCTGTTTGATTTGGAGCAAGCCTTTCCTCTCTCTGGGCCTCAGTTTCCCTATCTGTTAATAGGCTTGAATTAAGAGAGCCTAATGCCCCTTTGCACTCTGCTTTTCTGCCCTATCAACCCCCCAATTCCATAATCCTTCTTCCAAAAAGGAAAGAAATACGAGGACAGAAACTCAAATATCTACAAGAGGGGGAAGTAAGGCCCCTGGGTTCATCTCCCCTTCCAGGACCAACAGGGGTAGGGAAACACCTGCCCAAGGTTCAGTGGGACCAATGGGACAGCACAGGAGGCGACCACCCACACACCCTGCTGAGTGCCTGAATGGGAGCTGGCTGCCTAGGGGCAGGAGGGAACCGAAACCCAAGCCAGGGACATCCTTGCACCTGCCCTAGGGTACCCCTGGGAAAGGGGAAGTGGCTGAACTGAGGAGTGGGGGTGCTGCCCATGCTCCCCACAGGACCCTGCCCTCACTGGAGCCCTTGGAAGCCCTGTCAAAACTGAATCTTCAGCCGGGCGTGGTGGCTCACACCTGTAATCACAGCACTTTAGGAGGCAGAGGTGGGTGGATCACCTGAGGTCAGGAGTTTGAGACCAGCCTGGCTACATGGCAAAATCCCGTCTCTACTAAAAATACAAAAATTAGCCAGGCGTGGTTGGGGGCACCTGTAAATCTCAGCCACCAGGGAGGCTGAGGCAGGAGAATCGCTTGAACCCGGGAGGCAGAGGCTGCAGTGAGCCAAAATCACGCCACTGTACTCCAGCCTGGGCAACAAGAGCGAGACCCCATCTCAAGAAAAATATAAATTAAAACAAAACAACAACAACCACCAAAAAAAAAAAAAAAAAATGAATCTTCATTTTACAAAGGAGGGAGTGAGATCAGAAAAGTCAACTGACTAATCCAAGGCCACACAGCTGGCAAGTGGAAACACAGAGTCCTCTTTTCTGGGGAGGAAAGGCCCCTGGGGGATCAGGGTAAAGTTCATTTTATTCTGGGCCTGGAGCTGCGCCGAGGGCTGCCTTGGGCTGGAAAAGTCACTGTGTACATGATCTGTGTGAGTGGCCCTGAGCCCTGCAGGCCGCTTAGGCTGCAGAGGCCGCTGGACCCCTGCAGGGAGAGGGCTGGCTGCTGAGGTGGGGCCCTCCCTCAGGATCCCTTCTCAGGCCCAGACTGGTGCAGAGACTTGCCCAAGGCCACACAGCAAATTTGTATCAGAACTGAGACTAGAAACCGGTCCTCTGCAGCACCTGCCCCGCAGGAGGGAGGTGAATGGAGGATGCTGGGAAATCTGTCTTCAGAAGCCCCTCCCCAGCACCCTGCACCCTGCTCTGGGCTCCCACAGAACAGTCAGCCTCAGAGACCAACGAGGCCGGTGGGTTCCAAAACCTTCTCTCCCCAAGGAATTCTTCTATCATGATCTCCCCAAGACACTGGATTTAGAAGAGTTTTGTTTGTTTTCGTTTTTGGCCACAAAACATCCCGGAATGCATTAAGTTGTTAATATGTTTCCCTTTTGGGCATCAGTAATCAGACTTTTTTTGTTTTTGTTTTTGTTTTTGAGACGGAGTCCCGCTGTGTCCCCCAGGCTGGAGTGCAGTGGTGTGATCTCAGCTTACTGCAACCTCCGCCTCCCTGGTTCAAGTGATTCTCCTGCCTCAGCCTCCCAAGTAGCTGGGATTACAGACACATGCCACCACGCCCGGCTAATTTTTGTATTTTTAGTAGAGATGGGGTCTCACCATATTGGCTAGGCTGGTCTCGAGCTCCTGACCTCAAGTGATCCACCCACCTCGACCTGCCAAAGTGCTGGGATTACAGGCGTGAGGCACTGCGCCCGGCGGTAATCAGACTTTTAATACACCAACGCGGTATCTCGTTCCATCCAAAAGTGCTCCAATTGCCTGGGCAGCCTCATCCCAGGGAACTAACAGCACAGCCTCTGTTTACCCAGCCCCTCTAGGCCCACCCACTGTTTGGAGCAGAACCCCAACCCAAAAGGGCAGGAGCTGAAGATGGCTGTGCTCACTTCCAGCGAGGGGCTGCACCATGGCTCCTGCCAGCCTTGGCCTTCACACGCATCGGGCACCTCCATCGATGGCCACCCTGGGTTCTGCGCCGTCCCCACGTAAACACAGCCCTGCCCTTCCATCCCCTCACCGCAACTCTGCAACACAGGGACCCAGGAGACAGAGGCAAGGAAGGGGGAGCAAAGGAGTTGGCCATACCCTTCTGTAGTGCTAAGGGGAGGAAGAAGGCGATATTAAATTCGATGTGAGATTAAACTTCAAGACCGGACATTTTTTTTTTTTTTTCCTGAGACGGGATCTCATTCTGTCGCCCAGGTTGCAGTGTAGTGGCACTAACTCGGCTCACTGCAGCCTCTGCCTCCTGGGTTCAAGTGATTCTCCTGCCTCAGCCACCCAAGTAGCTGGGATTACAGGTGTGCACCACTATGCCTGGCTAATTTTTGTGTTTGTAGCAGAGATAGGGTTTCACCATGTCAGCCAGGCTGGTCTCAAACTCCTGAGCTCAAGTGATCCACGCACCTCAGCCTCCCAAACTGCTGGGATTACATGCGTGAGCCGCTGCGCCCGTCCAAGACTGGACTTCTTCATACTTAAAAGTGAGAAGAAAGTTAGCAAAACCACCCAAGATGTCACAAAGGACTCTGGTGGAGGCTGGCCATGGTTGAAGACAATGGTTGGAGAAAAGGAAGCTCTGTCATGTCCAGGTTTGTGCACCGTGACTTTGGATCTGCAGGCTTGGGGAGGGAGCTGGAGACAGCTGGACTGCTCTTCTCGTAAGAGGGAGGTGAATCATACCGGGCCATCTGGAAGAGGGCCTGAGAGCACAGAGACAAAAACCGGGGGGGGAAGAGAGAGAAGGCAGGAGAGGGTGAGCCACCGGGCCCCAGGCAAAGAGTTGGGGGAGGATCAGAGGTGAACTACTAGGGTGGAGGGAGGGAAGGGAGAGGAGTAGCCAAAAAAGATTCAGAAGAACAGATGCTGTGTTAAATTGTTCTCTAGGTTCTGTCTAATGTCACCCCTCTCTGTGGCCCTGAGATCTTTAGTAAATGCTCTGCTCACAAGTATTTGTCAAGAGCAGGATTTTGGGCCTGGTGCCGTGATTCACCCCTGTAATCCCAGCACTTTGGGCGGCCGAGGCAGATGGATCACCTGAGGTCAAGAGTTCAAGACCAGCCTGGCCAACATATGAAACCTCGTCTCTACTAAAAATACAAAAAATTAGCCAGACGTGGAGGCGGGCACCTGTAATCCCAGCTATTTGGAAGGCTGAGGCAAGAGAGTTGTCCAAACCCAGGAGGTGGAGTTGCAGTGAGCAGAGATGGCACCATTGCACTCCCGCCTGGGCAACAGATACATTTCCATTTTTTGTTTTGTTTGTTTGTTTTTGAGACGGAGTCTCGCTCTGTCGCCCAGGCTGGAAGTGCAGTGGCCGGACTCAGCTCACTGCAAGCTCCACCTCCCAGTTTACGCGCATTCTCCTGCCTCACCTCCCGAGTAGCTGGGACTATAGGCGCCCGCCAACCTCGCCCGGCTAGTTTTTTGTTGTATTTTTTAGTAGAGACGGGGTTTCCATCGTGTTAGCCAGAATGGTCTCGATCTCCTGACCTCGTGATCCTCCCGTCTCGGCTCCCAAAGTGCTGGGATTACAGGCTTGAGCCACCGACGCCCGGCCCATTTTTTGTTTTTTTAAGAAATGGGATGCCTTCCTCTGGGTTGCC